TTTGGACTACGATGTGAGTTTAGTAGATGAAGCAATAAATCATCTTTTCTCATTCATCAAAAATTTCATAAAAGTTTAATTTTCTCACTTCAAAAGATATATCATGAGTTAGGTAGCACTAATGTTACATATCAAAAGATTCAATATAATTATCTTTAGCAACCACTTCAAATAAGTGTCTTGAACTTATTTTCTCACTTTCTATTATCTTCTAAACGTGTTACCAAATATTCTATAAAATTCTAATTTTTCAGAATGATGCTGTGTGTACAGAAATAAAAATACAAAAATGTAACAGACAAGACACACAAGTGGGGCCCATTTTTTTTTTGGGGCAATATTTTACTCACATGGTGCCCACCCCCATGTGAGTTTTCTGGCACTTTTCTGGCAGATTAATTTCTGTACAAATGGAACGATTGTTCTATTCATTCGTTACTAGAAAACCTTTTTTTAAAATTATAAATTAGGGCCTTAGGGATTATAGTTAACAATAACTTACGAATTTCAGCTTTTACCAATAAAATTACATCTAATCTTACTTATTTACTTATAATTGGGAACATGTGTTTTTAAAGGCAAAATGTTGATACCAAAAAGATGAAAAATGATGTGGTTGTAATAGAGTAGTTGCTTCATCAATGGGTCCCACACATTTTTAATCTATTTTTATTCTTTAAGAATGTAGAATACACCTAACTAAACGAATTTGTGTGAATCAAGCAGTTGGTGAAAACGAAATCATGTAATTTAATTAATTACATCATTAACTTTATAAAGTTTATATGCATAGATTTTGTTGCAAAACAAACAAGATATCAGAATAGCTCCGATATCAATTGTTGTGAAACAAAATATCGGATTGAGATGTTTGAGTTATATGACAAATAATAATGAATTCTATGATCAAGTAAAAAAATAATAAAGACAAGAATATGACAAAAGAATTAAGAGATTTTATTGATTTAAAATAATGAAGAAGAGAAAAAAATTACAATATACCCTATAATTCTGGTAATCTATTTTCTCACATAATAAAATTGTATAGAACGGCCTACTATTTATAGGAAATAAGTAGGGAATGTCCAAACCCACCAGTAGAGTTGTTGATGAAGTACGATACCATAAAATTGAGTCCAAAATAAATTTCAACTCCCAATGGACTTCCAAAATAGAACTTCAACATGACATAAGACTCCAATAATATTCCAAATTTGAATTCTTCATGACGTGCACTTCAATTAGAATTCTTCAATTATTTCAATAAGGAATTCGGGTCACACACAAATTCTAACAATCTCCACCTTGACAAGAATTCCACCTAGGAATGAATTGACTTCTTTAACAATAACCAAAAAATTAATTTTTCCAACTAAACACAAAATACTCCACCTCTTCCAATGAATCCAAACACTACTCTGCAAAATTACTTCAAATTCCAAAAAATCATAATGATTTTATAATTTACCAAAATTGGATATAACATACCCCAAAGCAGAATCAACATCAAATGCTTTTACAGAAGGCTCATTGCTAGATTGTACATCTTCTACTCCACTTAAAGCATACTCAACAAAATCAGTGTCCACATACCATTTTCCATTGGGTCATTCCCTAGCAATTGAATACAATGGCACCACAAGTGATAGTGGCAAAGCGGCATTATTCATATCTCCCGAACTCCACTGAACTGTATTCTTCAAATCCGACCATTTATGAGCTCCTAAAGGTATTGTACCAAACTAAATGTTCACCACGATCCTGAACTTGTGCTGATTGACTCTTCTAAATTCTGCACGACCCTGGAAGATGTATAACCGAGATATTTTATGTCCCTCCAATACAATTTGGACACTCTTACAAACCTTCAAATCTCCACTTCCACCAAAAAACTCATAACATTTTGAATCAAGGATAGACAACGAGATGAAATTTTTCTTCAAATCTGGAACATGTCAAACCTAGCCAAGTGTTCTAATTGTCTCATCCAAAAGCTTCAATCTAACTGTGCTAATTCCAAAAACCCGACAAGATGTGTTGTTTCTCATAACCATGACACATTTGGAAACAGTTTCATATGTAGCAATTAAGTCCTTATTATGACACATATGAAACACATATTCTGAATCAAGAATCCAATTATCTTCCGATTTAAACTTAATGTCAGAAATAGCTAAGAGTTCCCCATCACTTACAACGTTCTCCACGAGGTCTGCTTCGCATGAAGTATCTGAATATCTACTTGCAGCCATCATTTCTTTAATCTACAAATA